ATGTTTTTTCCATCTTAAGGTTTGCAAGTTTGTTTCGTAACGGACGAAATGTAAATATATTTATAAACGGACAAGTCAAATCAAGCAATCTGATTGGTCGATAGCGTTTTTGCGGACCTTTTTGATTACAGATTTGAAAACATGGTTGCTTGCTTTAAAAGTAGCACAATTCATGATGTCAGACTTTGGGAAGTATCTAGATACCCCTGCCCTAATGCCAAAGGAACTGCACACTGAATATGTTTTGCCGTTTGATGTCTATGTCTGGACCTTTGTGTAAAAAGGAGGGTTTCTGCCCCGTTACTTCTCCGCTGTTTTCTTGTCGCAGTTTGCTTTTCAGCCGAACTGTATACAGTTAAATCGACCGGACTTCTTTCTGCAGATGTGAGCGTCCTTAACAACGGTCAATACGTCCTTGCTGCACATTATCCCTTACATGTTTCCATCTTAAGCTTTGTTAGTTAGTTAGTTTCCTAACGGACGCAATGTAACAGCTGTAACGGTTGTTGCTTTTCTCAGACGTGGAGGGATACTGACTTGTTGTGAAAAGTATGTTGTGAATATGTTCGCTAGCTGTTAGTGTTGTTGCATAGCAACCACCTCGCACTATGTTTCGTGCAGAAGGCAACAGAGGGACTATTTTATTTTGAACATCATTATTTACTAATAAAAACTATTTAAATTAGAGTGTGTATTTTTCTTTCATATTGCCATATATACATACATATATATATTTATATATATATATATCTCTATTTAAATGTCCTCACCTTGCAGGCCCTGTACAGGTGCTTCCTCTCCTTCGTCCTCCGGTACAGGGACAGGAAGATGAATCCGTTCCCTGCCGTGCCGTGGCAGAGTCCGTATCCTTTCCTCAGGAAACCTCTCTGCCAGATCACCTCCGAGCAGTCTGATGCCTCCTTCAGGTACTTCTCCTCCTGGAACACCTGAGAGAGAGACAGGTGAGAGACAGACAGGTGAGAGACAGACAGGTGAGAGACAGACAGGTGAGAGAGAGACAGGTGAGAGAGAGACAGGTGAGAGACAGACAGGTGAGAGACAGACAGGTGAGAGACAGACAGGTGAGAGAGAGACAGGTGAGAGACAGACAGGTGAGAGACAGGTGAGAGACAGACAGGTGAGAGACAGGTGAGAGACAGACAGGTGAGAGAGAGACAGGTGAGAGAGAGACAGGTGAGAGACAGAAATGTTGTTGTTTGCGTTCACGAATTCGATTAATTGAACGACACTGCTCGACCCCCTGGAAAAGCTATAGTACATATATGCCAGTAGCTACTGACCATGCTACAGCACCAACATATGTGCTATATAAATAAAAAGCCTGATTTGATGAACGGAAGATGAAATAAGTATCAAAAAAATCAATGTGCAATGAGTCAATGTTAAAATATCGAATTTTTGAAGGAAGATTTGAAAACGAGATCACCCGCTCCAAAGTGCCACACTCAGCACATTACGCCACAAGAACGCTTGTGCCAAACAATCAACGGAAGTTGTATTTAAAAATATTGTGAAGGAAGTCTGTCAGACCGTAAGTGGCTACGCAACAACAAGTACGCTTATATGTCCAATTAATCAATTAGTTGTATTTCTATTCAAGATATTCAGAAATATCCTTCAAAACAAAAGCTCGACAAATACTAACTCTTTGAAACACCATCAATAACTCCTCTCCTACGTCACATGCTTGGCCTGTCACTTTAAGAGTAGCAGCCGCAAGGGGTTGTGGGTTTTGGACTCTGTGTGTGTGTACAATGTGATGGCCAAGGCGAAGTGCGGAGGTATGAAGAGAGAGACGAAAGTCTAGAGAAACTAGTCAGAAAAGGAATAGTGTCTAGTCTGTATGTATGCAATACAGTGTCAATGTAACTGAAGAACGTCAATAAACGGAGGTTCTTCCCACGGCACCCGTTTGCATCCTTTTTTCCGCTCGAAATGTCTGGGCAGCTGGTTACAGGCTGACAACGAGCCAAGTCAGAAACATCCGGTGTGCATTAGAAACTACGGTTTCGGTGCCGACATACCGTTAGTAAAAAGGTAACACCTAGTTGCACGGCAACTAATTCTATCACTAACTAAGCACGGTTAATGTTGTCCCAGTGACAGCGCAAAGACAGTTGCAGCGGGGACAACGTCACCTCTGTCTCATTGTTCACTTTGAACATTCATAGGCTATAAGATAAACTAAACAACTCACGCATGTCATATTAGGTCATATATTACAAGTGCTTTGATATTGACTTGGTTCATACAAAAACATTAGACACATACATGATATGGACACTGAGCAAAACACTTTACATGCAGCCAGCCAGCCACTCACTCACACTGCAACATCACCCCCTGCTGTTCGTTATCAGACAAGAACGGAACATGACACAAGTATGAAGAAATGAATGTGGGAATAAACACATCAATAAATAAATGTGGTAATAAATACATGAATGTATAAATAAATAAAAGTGTTCAATAAAACACTTCATTATATATATTTCTGTACAAGTGGCATTTTATTGTTGGTAGCTAGCAGTGAGTCAATAATACTAGTAGTGATTTCAATAAGTTCTCAACAACTGCTGCATGAATGGTGTGAGACTCACCGTTGAGCGGCCCGACCAAGTAAGGAGCCAGAGGCACAAATCCCAAATACAACCCGCTGTGGGCCTTTATTAAAAATCATGAACACATGACACACAGCCTCAATCTGCTGTTTCTCCCTGCACACAGCCAGCCACAAAGATCTCACACCCCGCTAACCCTACAAGCACAGCACCTACATACACACACAGACTAACAAGACACAGGTGAGGGGGGAGCAATTAGACACAGGTGAGGGGGGAGGAGCCATCACAGGGCACCAGGTGAACACAATCCCAAACAGAGATCACCTCCAGTCCAGTGTAATAATGTATGCTGATGATTCCACAATATACAGTACAGCATCAACATGCAGTGAGTTAAACAATCTACTTAAAATAGAGATTAAAGCCATAGCAGACTGGGTCAACAATAACAAACTGGTACTCTACATTGCAAAACCAAAGTGTATTTGTTAATATACACCCCTAAAGTCCTATCCTATATTATGTGATATACATATCTTTATGTTACATGTTGCTCAGTATGATATGATAAACTGTGTTATATGCTGCTGCAGGAAGGATACTGTATATTGTAGAATATCTATTAAAGATAGCTATATACACAGTACTGTATATCTGCACTCACTCACACTGCAACAGCACCCCCTGCTGTTCCTTATCAGACATGCATGATAAGTGATCGTTGCTCAGTATGATAAACTGTGTTATATATGCTGCAGGAAGGATACTGTATATTGTTGAATATATATATGAAAGATAGCTATATACTGTACTGTATATCTGCACTCACACTGCAACAGCACCCCCTGCTGTTCCTTATCAGACAAGAACGGAACATGACACAAGTATGAAGAAATGAATGTGGGAATAAACACATCAATAAATAAATGTGGTAATAAATACATGAATGTATAAATAAATAAAAGTGTTCAATAAAACACTTCATTATATATATTTCTGTACAAGTGGCATTTTATTGTTGGTAGCTAGCAGTGAGTCAATAATACTAGTAGTGATTTCAATAAGTTCTCAACAACTGCTGCATGAATGGTGTGAGACTCACCGTTGAGCGGCCCGACCAAGTAAGGAGCCAGAGGCACAAATCCCAAATACAACCCGCTGTGGGCCTTTATTAAAAATCATGAACACATGACACACAGCCTCAATCTGCTGTTTCTCCCTGCACACAGCCTGCAGCCAGCCACAAAGATCTCACACCCCGCTAACCCTACAAGCACAGCACCTACATACACACACAGACTAACAAGACACAGGTGAGGGGGGAGCAATTAGACACAGGTGAGGGGGGAGGAGCCATCACAGGGCACCAGGTGAACACAATCCCAAACAGAGATCACCTCCAGTCCAGTGTAATAATGTATGCTGATGATTCCACAATATACAGTACAGCATCAACATGCAGTGAGTTAAACAATCTACTTAAAATAGAGATTAAAGCCATAGCAGACTGGGTCAACAATAACAAACTGGTACTCTACATTGCAAAACCAAAGTGTATTTGTTAATATACACCCCTAAAGTCCTATCCTATATTATGTGATATACATATCTTTATGTTACATGTTGCTCAGTATGATATGATAAACTGTGTTATATGCTGCTGCAGGAAGGATACTGTATATTGTAGAATATCTATTAAAGATAGCTATATACAGTACTGTATATCTGCACTCACTCACACTGCAACAGCACCCCCTGCTGTTCCTTATCAGACATGCATGATAAGTGATCGTTGCTCAGTATGATAAACTGTGTTATATATGCTGCAGGAAGGATACTGTATATTGTTGAATATATATATGAAAGATAGCTATATACTGTACTGTATATCTGCACTCACACTGCAACAGCACCCCCTGCTGTTCCTTATCAGACAAGAACGGAACATGACACAAGTATGAATAAATGAATGTGGGAATAAATACAGCAATAAATACATGTGGTAATAAATACATGAATGTAAAAATAGATACATAAAAGCAATAGGGAAAGTGCAATATTTGATTTGTGTATGAATGCAGTAGGGAAGGTGCAATATTTGATTTATGTATAAATACAATAGGGAAAACTGCAATATTTGATGATGTATGAATGCAATAGGGATATGTGCAATGGGGAAAGTGCTGTACCTGTATGTTTCTTGTTTGTTTCTTTGCCATGTGATATGTGATCTCTGTTCTGTATCTATGAGTGATTGACCTGAATGTTTTATGTTTATTATCTCGATGCCCAAGACAAATTTCTCCCAAGGGAGACAATAAAGCTCTATCTTATCTTATCTGTCTATTGTTGAATATATATGAAAGATAGCTATATACTGTATATAACATTAGATTAATTGTAATTCAATGTACATATCAATAATTAATGGATACAAGGATAACTTTGCTGTTAATGAACATTATGTGATTATACATGATTATATCAAATCAAATCAAATCAGGTTTTATTTATAAAGCACATTTAAAAGCGATTTTTGGTCGAGCCAAAGTGCTGTACATGTAATAAAAAAAACACATTACTACAAAACACAATAAACGACAATAAATTACAACAGATATAACTTAAAAAAAAAACAAAATAAGAATAAAACACACGGAAAAGTCAGAAGTCGTGCTCCGCTCTAATTAGAAAGCCAGAGAGAAGAAGTGAGTTTTTAGAGTGGATTTAAAAACCCCTACGGTCTGGGCCGACCTCACATGGAGGGGCAAAGTGTTCCAGAGCCTAGGGCCAGCTGCTGCGAAGGCTCGGTGCCCTCGGGTTTTGAGCCTGGTTTTGGGCACTACCAGCAGCAGCTGGTCAGCATATGTGTAGATAAGCTGTATAAATAATGGTTAACATGTCACAAATCATAAACAAATCTGGGACTGTCTGCAGAACCTAACAGGGAAAGGGCATAAAAGATTATCTCGAGCCGGTTTCTCAAACTTACCTACCCCACCTTTAATTATTTAAATAATATTTAAGCTTCTTATAAGTGAAAATGTTTAAAAGAGAAGGGTTTAGAAAAAGTGTCTTTACTATAGGAAATATGCATTACACAGTTGCCTACAATGATATGCAGGCATTTCTTTACATTTTATTTTTGTTAACGAGAAACATCTGTTAGAACAGGCCCAGCCGAAATTACATTGGCCCACCCAAAATTTAAATCCTGGCGCCGCAGCTGCTGTATTCCCCAAGATCTAACCCCTCAGCAAACAAATCCCAGTCTGTGTGTTCAAAACAGTCTTGCAGCAATGAGGTGGCTTCCTCAGACCACACTTGTACTGTCCTGATAGCTGGTTTTGTTTTGCAGATATGTGGTTTGTAAGCTGGAATCATAATTAGTGAGATGTGGTCAGATTGTCCAAGATGTGGGGATTATGTTGCTTTAAATGCCCCTGGAATGTTTGTGTAGATGTTGTGGTTCAGCCAGATCTCTGTGATGATCGGAAGCGCCGGTCTGTACGGGTTAGCCTTTAGCCTAGACCTTAGCCCGGCTCACTTACCACGCTTCTGTCTCCTCTCCTTCCGCCGCCGCCTCGCTGGTGGGACGGTGAAAAAGATTGCCTCCGGGCTGCGTAGAATCTACGGAGGGATGACAGTTGTGTCCAAACGGAGATCAGTTCTGAAAGAAAAATAATTTAGCTCAGTTATGTATTAAAGCAGGGGTGCCCAACCTTTTTTGAACCGAGAGCTACTTTTAAAGTTGCCAGTGTGCCGAGATCTACCAGTCCAAATAGAGAGGCGTAGCCATTACTGACAGCGTACTACCAGGAAAATACACACTTCTACTTGTATAAAACTGACCTTTGTACGATTAATACTTCATAAAATACTGCTGATCATTTATCTTACCTCTTTCTAATCTACACACATACAAGTATTTAACTGAAGTTACACAACGGTGTTGTTGATACAGAGTTGGAGTTTATTCACACGTCACATACCACAGTGGGTAATGTTTTCAAGAAACATTGAACAGTGCTGCCACATATGACACAGGAAAAAAAGACTCTGAACCCTTTCTTTGCCATTATATAAAAATAGTGTTGCTCCAAAAGTATAAATTAGGCTTACTAATAAGACAACTCAGATCTGAAGCTACATGCATGCTTGACAAAGTGCAATAAAAAAGACAAAATTAATAGAATCAAACCCTTTTCTTGTTGCATTTTAGTAGAGTATAAAAAGAAATGCCTTTAAAATAGGATGCAAGCAACACTAGTTTCTTAACCTGAATTGATAATAGACTATAATCAATTTAAGTTTGCATTATTGTTATACCATTTTGTACAATAATTATAATGAATAAGTTCAAACAAACTAAAACTTACAGCTGATTAATAACGGTATCTAACTTGAGTTTTTATTATATCAAAAACCTGTTGAAATGCTACTGTTATTTTTACTGTCCCCAAAAAGCGCGTCGGCAGCCTCCAGGAATGCTTCTTTCACAACTTTGCCATCTTTGAAAGACTTCATGTGTTTCGCAAGAACGTCACTGACACGATAAGATGCTATGGTAGCAGCCTTGCTCTTGTTGTTGGGCCTGGTGAAAATGGACTGCTGTGCATTTAGCTGTCCTTTCAGGTCCCTCACCTTTTGGGAGCGTAGGGCAGAATTAGGAGGGAATTCCGTCTCGTAGCGTTTGTGCACTGTTTTGAAATGCCGCTCCTAAATTACCCTTCTTCGGGAAAGCCACGCTCGCATTGCAGATGAGACAGATGGACTTTGAATTGGAATAGATACAAAAATAATCATCCTCCCACTCGGAGTGAAAATGATATATTTTGGGCTTTTTTGCTTCTGCTAGGGCTGTGCAATTAATCGTATTTTAATCGCAATTACGATTTTGGCCTGCCACAATTACGAAAACAACATAATCGTAAAAAACGATTATTTTGCTTTGCTTGGTTGTGACCGTGCACTGCAACATATTGGATCTAATTTATTTTAGTCTAATTTATTTGTATTTATCATATTTACATATGTTTAGTAGCTTGTTGAAGTGCGCTCCAAAATATTTGTTGATCTTGTTTATTGGTATTTATTATTTTGATATTATTTATTTAAATGTAAATATAAATGTATCATTTAATTTATTTTTTGTATTGGTTTTTAAGTTGAATTATACGTTCAGGGTAATCAACAGTTAAAAAGATACTGTTCAAATTATTATTTGTATTTGTTTTAAAGTTCAATAAATGGATGTTTTCAAAGTCAATGAATAATCGTATTTAATAATCGTGATATCAATTATTGACCAAAATAATCGTGATTATGATTTTTGCCATAATCGCACAGCCCTAGCTTCTGCCATAATTGCGGTCTTGTGTGTGTGCGGACTGTCACTCCTGTTGACACGGACAACGTCAGCTAACTAGTGCCCACTGCCAACCAGCCACGCCCCGACACATGGGATCACGCCGGCCAATCACAAAGCTTTGATGCGTTCAAGTGCATTATTCTGGCACAGGAAGATTATGTTATAGGACATTAACGATAAAACAGAATATTGTTGTTCTATTTTTAGACACATCTCGCGATCGACTGGGAATCTCCCCTGTATTAAAGGCTACTACCTTGCTGCTAGAAAGTAAACATGCTAAAACGTATATAAACAAACAGAGAGCCAAGCCGCTGCGTCTGCATCTTACGTGTGTGTGTGTCTCACCTGAGTGATGGTGCTCTCCTCCACCGTGTTCTCTCCCATCTCTCTGTTGACGTACAGCAGAGCGAACAGGAAGCCAGCGCGACCGTACAGGAGTTCATCAGAGTCACTGAGGACTGAACTCTGGAGGAACACACACACACACACACACACACACACACACACACACACACACACACACACACACACACACACACACACACACACGTTTTGCTATACTTGTGAGGACCATGACCCAAGGGTAGGGTGTGAGGACCCCCCTTTCTGCTATAGCCACAAAGATGAAAAAAATATCTCTAACACAAGATGGGGGTAGTGAGTCAGAAAGTCACTTAAAATGTTAAAACACAAATTTTCACACAAGTGGTGAATTTGGTCGGTGTTGTGAGGACCGGCCAGTTGCTAGGCAGATTTAAGTGTGTGTTTTTCCCAGCAGTTTTGACAAGTTTTCTTCTCAAAAACCTTTTATGAGCCCTATGGCCCACAGCATTAAAGATTGGCATTGCACATAAGAGAAATGAAAAGACTAGAAATAAACAATTCTAAAATGTAAACATCACAAATAGAAATAAAACAGCATTCAAAAAGTAGAAAATATACATGTTGAAATACCAATTTACAGTAAACAAAATAAATATAAAGCAGGATATTATATACATTAAGTGTGTAGGAATGGAATATTAAATTAAGTATACATGTAAAATGTACAGTGTGAGTTTAAGTCCAGTTATCCAAAGAGATAAGAGATTGTTGAATCCTAAAACCTTATTTATGTAATATTCTATAATGATATGTTTCAGTCCCTGCCTGCAGGCCCCTGTATTTAATTTAAAGTCTATGCCGGTGTATATGTCTCTCTCAGTTTCTTAAATCCTCACCTTCTTCTCTTCTCCCATGTTGTTTTGTTACTAACCCTTTTGCCCTCTGTCTGTGTGAGTGGTTGGTGTTTCTTTCTTGCTGTATGGATGTGGCTCCCATCTTTAGGCCTCCCAATGCTGTCCCTGGTCCTGCTGTCCCTGCATGGCCCTGCTCCTCCTGCATCCCTCACAGCCATTCCCATTGTTTCATGCATTTACATACCATATTCTGTCTTTGCTTTCTAGTCTTGATACCTCCCTTGTGTATTAAACAGTATTATAAGCCATACTGTGTTATGTCCTAAGTATTCACTCTTTCAGGAAACTAAGGTTGCATTCACACCTAATAGTCCTCTTCTTTGGTGTGTTAAAACATTATAAACACATATAATGACAGACTGCAGTAAGGAGGGCTCTGATCAGATTGTACCACAGCCTTTTGTTGTACACAGGGGACCAGTGAGGTGAGCAGTCATAAGCAAATATAGCCTAGCTTATAGGCCAAACCGCACCAAGCGGTTGAACGCACCAGGGTTCGATTCAACCAGACTAAACAAGGCTGGTGTGAACATGACCTAAGACAAGGTATTACTTCCTTCACAAAACAAACAATGCAAGAACTATAATCACAGATTGATTTATTTGACAGGTGTGTTGAACTACAGTTACAAAAACACTCACCTACTGTCCATTGACTCTAACTCTACATTAACATTTCTCTCTTCTAACTCTACATTGACTCTACTAACTACTTGTGTCACAGAGTGAACCACTTGTTTTTGGTGAGATTTCGTGGAAACAACACACTATTGGAAAAATGTCACGTTTGCTTAATTAACCTGTTAAGCCCCGAGCCTGTTTTTCAGGTTTCAGGCTCGAAAATGACATGCCCAAAACAAATGACTATAACTTAACTTCTAAAAGGGTTATATGAATAATTTCTTTTATCAAAGCAAGGTTACATCTGTGAGTTGGATGTAGAAGTGTCAGAATCAATATAGATTTTTCTCAGTCAGAGTAAATTCAGATGGAACATAGTAAAAAAAGGTAAATTCTTACCTCCGCCTAAAGAAAACCCATTACTTATAGTGAAAACCACCCTTGGATGATGGGTTAGTAGACTAAAAGCTTTAGGAATCCAAAGTATAACATATAATAAGTACCCTGTATCAAGATTGAGGCAAAACAAGTGAAATTTGACCTTTTTAGAGAGGATTAGTAAAAAAAAGTCCAGGCGGACTAACCTTTGGGCACATTTGGGCACGTTTGGATACCATCAGTGCCATTTGACCTTTTTCAGGTACCATACCGTAAAAATCATTTTATTATCACTATAGGTATTCATTCCATCCATTCCGTGTTTTTCTATAAAAAAAAATTTTCAATAATTTTAAAATAATATATATATATTTTTTTTTTAAATTACATTTATTTTTTTAATGTAAATGGTGTGTGTGTGTGTGTCTGTGTATGGACTTTTCCACAGTCCTTACATGTTTATCACCCGACTAACACTTCTAGGAAGGTTTACTTGCACAATAAAAATTAGGAAACATAGGATAAATTTGTCTCCAACAGGAGCAGATTTATTTACACAACACACTATAAAATAAAACTACACTAAAACCTAAATAAAACCACAAGCATTTTTTTTGTAAACACTCGCAAAAAAAAAAAAAAAGCAAAAATGTACACAAAAAGAAAAAGTGTTCAGTCAGAGGTGTGCCACGCCTTGAAGCAGTTCTTCTTTGAAGTGAGGCACAGAGGGATCAGGCACTTAGTGCAGTATATAGGTGTCTTTACCGTTTTGTTGCCAGCCTCAGAGCACCTCCTGCAGTACCTCCTGAGCGCGGTGGCATCTTCCCCATAATACGCGGGCATGCATACCTGTGATGATGGGGGGAGTGGTGGTGGTGCTGCAGGGACATCACCCCTCAACTCTGCACAAAGCTGCTCCCTGAAGGACTTCTGGGTGTGTGGGTTCATCACGTCAACCCTCATCTTGTGCAGCTCCTTGTAGAGAATGAAGCTGTTGACCACGGCAATGTCCAGAAAATGGTAAAAAAATGTCTTGTACCATTTCATGGTTTTGCGGAGAACGCTGTAGTACCCAATCAAAGCATCGGACACATCCACGCCGCCCATGCTTCTGTTGTAGTCCACCACAGCGTCAGGAACGGTAACAATCTTGGTCTGCCACACACCAGCCCGTTTCACATTCCTCCTGACAGTCTGTCCACTGAAGGCTGCATGCACTGTGGAGCACATGGTCACTTCACGGCTGTCCATCCACTTTATGAACAGGAGCTTGCTTCTCCTTATCCAACGCATATCTCCCCTTTCAGCCTTTTTCGGAAGGTCGTTCAACTCAGTGTGTGGAAAACCAACTCGATTTTTTTCGAATGGTCCCACAACAGCCAATGTTTTTTGCGAACAAATCCCCAAAGAGGGCAGGGCTTGTGTAAAAGTTGTCCACAAAGAGTGTGTAGCCCCCACCGAGCAGAGGGAAAGGCAGAAGGTCGACCACGGAGGAGTAGCTGAGTCCCTGGCCTGAGAGGAACTCACTCTTCCCTGTGTACACAAAGAAGTTCCATGTGTATGCCGTGGAGGAATCCGCCAGCACAAACAGCTTGTAACCCCACTTTGTTGGCTTATTCTTCATGTATTGCTTCAAGCTTATGCGGGCTTTGGAGGCGACCATCCTTTCATCTATTGATATGTTTTGATGGGGCTGGAAATGTGCTTTGCAGGCAGCAGTGATTTCAGTGTACAGGGGCTTTATCTTGAAAAGTCTATCGTACTCTGCGGTGTTTCTTTTGCGATCATTTTCTTCGTCTTCTTTCGGGTCGCTCATGTGCAATGACCACAGGATGGCGTGGAAGCGTTGCCGGGACATCGTATCACCTGGGAATTTGAAATTATATGGAAATGATGTCCTCCAGTAGTCCGCTTGGTTGGGAACGATAACTAGGCCTGTGAAAATGACAATGGACAGGAAAATATAAAAATCCTTGAAAGTCAGCACTTTCCAAGGGTACTTCTTTCCAGCCTGCAATTGATACAGGGCCTTTGTGTTTGTGTTGGCAATGATTGTATGAACCACGGCATGGCTAAAAAATAGTTTGAAAAGCTGAAGGGGAGACCATTGTGCAGTGGTGTCCAACGCTGGCCCTGGGACCCTGGCAGGCATGAACCTCAGTGGCTCTGGTGTTTCGTCATTGTCCTCTTTGTTGTGCCACCCGAGTTCTTCCTCTGTCGTTCTGGAAGAGGAAGACCTACCTCGACCTCGGCCACGCTTTCTGAGATTTACAGCTTTTTTCGATGCTTTTCTTTTGCTGGGCAGCTCAAATGATGGTTCCGAATCAGAAGATGCAGAGGGAGGCTGAGTTAGTACAGGTGCAGACATCCGGCGACGTAGCTTGGATGTTGATGGCTCTGGGGCAACTGTATGCTGATCTGATGCACGTCGTAGCTCGGATGAGGCAGATGTTGATGGCTGTGATCCAGAAGCCATATCATACTCGTCATACTCGTCATACTCACTGTGAAAAATGTGGGAAAAACAAATCGATTACTTCACTGGCTTATTCTTTCAAAAATGTAACTCAAATCAGAAATAATTCCTCCATTTAGCGTGTGTGAAATAACAGTATATATATATATATATATGATATACAATACAGCTTTATTTATATACTGCCGTGTTATAGTGACGAAATACAATTAATCTATTGATAAGTGTTCACCAACACGTGTTCCCATTGTTTACAACAAAACGGCATCGATTTCGCGTACAGTAGGCCTATAGACTGCGTTGATATACAATACAGCTTTATTTATATACTGCCGTGTTATAGTGACGAAATACAATTAATCTATTGATACGTGTTCACCAACACTGTGGGAAAAACAAATCGATTACTTCACTGGCTTATTCTTTCAAAAATGTAACTCAAATCAGAAATAATTCCTCCATTTAGCGTGTGTGAAATAACAGTATATATATATATATATATATATGATATACAATACAGCTTTATTTATATACTGCCGTGTTATAGTGACGAAATACAATTAATCTATTGATAAGTGTTCACCAACACGTGTTCCCATTGTTTACAACAAAACGGCATCCATTTCGCGTACAGTAGGCCTATAGACTGCGTTGATATACAATACAGCTTTATTTATATACTGTTTTAATTAATAATTTATTTATTTATAATTAATCTATTGATGCGTGTTCACCAACACGCATCTTCCCATTGTTTTTCGACTCTCAGAACGATTACGCGAGAACAAA